CTGGACTGAATGTGTGTATTAGTTGAATAATAAACTCATCATTTACCAAAAGAATATGCCAACAATATAAAAGCCGCCCGAGCTATCACTATGGGTATCCTATGTTAGTGATGTTATTGAAACGCTTTCACGCGCAGTGAGAAAACTCACCCAAGCGGCCATCTCGTTGGAAGCCGCTTGAGCGGTAGTTTTCTTAGTCGGAGAACCAATCGCTAATGCGCAATGTCCAATGGTTGTCGACAAGGCGAACACTATGCTTTGTCCATTGGATTTTACATTCTCATGTGATCGGAATGATACTTTGCACGAGCTTATCTGACAAAGAAGTTGATTTTTTTACAGGTCAGCGACGTAAAGTGGGCATCTCTTCAAATGAAACTGAAAGGCTACAAGCAGTAATGTCCTTAACGCCGAATTCATCGGATTCGGAATGCATCAGGAAAAAATACGCACATATCACCTTTTACTAAGTGCTTGTCTTTTTTCGACTATTAATAGCTGCATCTAGCTTCTAGTCGGTAAGTTACTTCATCTTGGTCCAACAAAGACAGTATTCGGGACGAGATGATGGTGGTCAACACAAATCAACGATAACGTGGAAAGCTAAAGCTCTGATAGGTGCCTGAATTCTTATTATTTTTGATAAATATTCTAGTGACAATTATTTTAGTGATAATTTATCATTTTAGTGATAATCACCTCGCAAGGAGTCAAAATTCATTCCGATGGTAAACCAATAACAAAGAGGATCAGATTCAGTACCAGTTTGTTTCTAATTAATTTTTGGAAAGCGAGTCATCAAAGGATTATTGCTGGCAGATTCTTTCATTTTCGAGCACCTCCGATTTCCAATAAGTGTGAAAATTTGGCCAAATTTTTAACTTTTGATCCAGGTCGATTACAAAAAACGCAACTTTTGCAGTTAAACTCCAAAGTATTTTTTAGAAACTTTAAAACAATTTTTTTTAAAATTTGTTGACTTAATTTATGTGGATCCAGCATGAAAGATTCATGCAGTTTGCGCTGGTGTATAACTGTATTTTAAAGTCAAACCTGCAAAGCCATGAGATCGCCAGTAGCGGCAATCCAAACACCCCAAATAG